CGAGCTGGGCCTGACGGAGGCCGCGGCCGGGCCTGGGGACCGGGGAAGGCCCGAGCTGGGCCTGAGGGAGGCCGCGGCCGGGCCTGGGGACTGGGGAAGGCCCGGGATCCCCGGGGGGGGGCCCTAAGGGGGTCGGGAGGCGGCCTGGCCTGGTCCTGGAGGGGCGGTGGGGCCTGGTGGAGGGCCCAGCCCCACGGGGCTGTAGGGTGGGCTCCCCCGGGGACCCCAGGCCCCGTGGCCGGGTGCTTGTGGGGAACAGCCGCCGGAGGCGGGGGGGGGGGCGTGCCCGTTGGGTGTGCTCCCGGTGCAGGGCCCGGCCTGGCCCTGCTGCCCCTGTCCCGGTGGCCGGTTGTTTGTTTTCGAGTGAAAGAAGCGCGCCGTGCCTGCTTGTTAGCTCCGAACAAGGCAGCGCAACCAAAACTGCAGATTTGGGTTTGTTCAACACCACCCCCACCCCCAATAAATTCACCTTTTGGAAGAAAACCAAAGCAAGGGTGTTTTAATTTTAACCCACAAAAAGCTATGCGGAGGTGTAAGGAGCAGTTGGAGTTAATGGGTAGTAAGCGATACTTAGGGTTGCTCCCGCGGATGCGGATCTGCTGACACGGACCTTGGGTCGTGGGCAATCCCACGGGATGTGGCGTGAGTCCTGCCTAAGAAACCGCAGCTGGATCGAGGCCTTAGGGTGCGCACGTCGGTCCGGGCCGGACTCTGCGTTGTGCTTTGCATCCCGGCTGGGAGATGTGGTGAGGCAGCAGGGCTGGCTGGTGCTGTCTGTCCTTCCAGAGGCTGTTTTATGGACGTAGCCTTAAGTGAGGCTGTAATACGGCAGCTGAAGGCAAGCGCTCCCTTCCTCGGTCACCAGCAATGGGTCATCAACGAGATACAAGAAAGAATATTAAAAATGATATTTGCTACTTGCCAGTGACAGTCTCTGTGGTCTCGTCTCTTATTGCAAGTGGCAGTGTGGAATATATTGGTTGTACAATCAGGTTCAGTAAACACCAAGGAGCCGAGCCTTGTTTTTTTGGTCCTAATTGCGTTCAGCTACAAGAGCTTTGTCACAAGATGTAGATTTCAACCACTGCGGGGGTTTTGTTATTGTTTAGCAGAATGTTTTCCTTCCTAATCAACAATTTCCTTGTTCTCTTTCTATAACGCCTGAGCTTTCTGTCAAGTTTAATTTTTAACGGTAGTTACTACGCTTTTTAAAAAGGTGTTTTCTGCCAACAACACCCTTTGCCCTTTGTGCTGCTCAGAGATCGACTCTCGCTGTCCTGCAGCCACCTCCTGGTTTCCTGCACCGGGCTGCCGATGCTGGTCACTGTTTGTATCCCAGAGAGCTAAATTTTAAAAATCCCTGTCCTGCATTTGGAGCAAGCAATTGGAAAGCTTTAATTCTATGGAATGTTTGCCTTAAGTTCTTGGGGAAAGGGTGTTTGAGGTCTGAGCTGAATTGACAAAATCCTGCAGGGGCAAAACGTTCACGCGAGACGTGGAAGCTTTGTCCAGCGCTGCCTGATTGTGGGCAGCTGCCCTCCTGGTTGCCCGGCCCAACCGTCGTGAACCACCAGGCATTGCCGGTGTTGCGAGCCCTTAACACGTGCTCCCTAACGAAGGACTGGCAGGTCCATCTCGCTCTCCTCGAGCTGGGGGCGAGACTGCCTGTGGACTGGTTTTCTCTGCAGACTCTGTCCGGGCTGGGGTGGCTTTTAGGTGGCTGCTGTTAAGTTTCCAAGGCGACTTACTCTGCTCTGGTGTCCGCATCAGAAATGTTTCTGAGCAGAGCTTGGCTGGTGCGGTTTTACTAGTATTGACCGTCCTGATCTGGACAAGCCCTAGAGCTTTTGTTCGGTTATTTGTGTCCGTTTGTGTACTGGGAATGCTAAGGTTCTCGGACCTTGCAGTGACCGCCAGCCCAGCGTACAGCAGGCTTTGATATCAGGGAAGCAGCTGTTGACTTCAGCGATCCTGCAAACACGAGGCTCCTGCTGCATCCTGAGCTCTGCAGATGTGGCTGGAGCCGACTAGCATGCTGTGAATTCTCGTTTCACGCTGGTGGATGCTTTGAAGCATGTATTTTGTGCTCTGGTTGTTTCAGGTCCCACTACGGGAATGCAGGCACTGGGAGGACTCTGGCTGCAGGCGCCCAATGGCATTCGGGCTCGAGTGGCTCTTGTCCTCTTTTCCTTTTAATCTCATCCTAGCGTGACTGCGGAGCGAGAGCCGAGCAGCTCCCCTGCTTTATCCCGTAACGTAGCGTGCTGTCGGCACAGCCTCTCGGGGCGGCGAGTCGGGTGAGCCCTGCCTCTCCGTGGCCCCGGCCGCCTGAAGGCACAGCCTCAAGCAGCGCGTGTCTGCGCCTCCCCCACCACGCTCCACTAACCCCCGTGCCCTGCTTAGGCGGCTGCAGCCAGCCAACTGGGTCTGCTTTCTTGCTGGCTTTGTTCCCGTAGAATATTGTCTCCCTGCTGTATATCCCTCTGCCATGCAGAGCTGGCTCCGGTGTACTTGCAGAAGAGTCGCCGGGTTTTAAAAATCCCATTGCTCATTCTCGACTGACAGCTGCCAGCGACCGTGTCGCCCTCAGCCCCCTCTGTCCATTCATCGCTGCGCCCCGTGTGGGCTCCGTGGAGCTCTGACAAATGCTGGCAGTGTTTTGGGCAGCTGCTGGGGCTGGAGCCAGGCTCAGGAAGGGGCCGGGGAGCCCCGAGCCCACCTGTTCCCGCACACAGGCACCCCGCTATCTCCAGGGTGTTTTCGTCATGGCCCTGAGTCGCTGTGGTCAAATTACAGACTTAGCTGCTGTCTGCGTGCAGCTCAGGAGCTCCGGTTAATCTGATGGCCTCTTAATCTTTCTTTTTGTCCTTTCTGTTGCCATTTGTCATCCCAGCGAGTTTCCTTTAGGAGTAAGTCATTCCCTGGGGAAGCCAAGTGGGGTGAAGCCAGTCCCGCTTCTTCATTCCTGATGGAGCAGTAAGGGCACAACGATCCTGGTGCCAGCTTGTTGGAGGCCCCCATCCGCTCCCGATCCTGCCGTCCCTTCTGGATTTCATACTTTGAAGTGGCGATGCAGTCCTCTGGAGGCTGTTGTAGCACACTGGCTACACTTGTCACTTAGTGTGTCAGGTCAGGACATCTTAAGAGCCCTTGCTGACATCCTTCTCACGGCAGGGATCAGAGCGGGGAGTGAATCGTGTTCTCCTTGCACCTAAGCTTGGTTTGGGTCCTCCGTGCCCCTCTCCATCTGGGAGATCCTTCGGCCCCTGTGAAGTTTTCACACTCTTCCCGGCCGTAGGTGGCTTGGATGTGTCTGGGGTCCCTGTGCTGCACAGCTGTCATGTCACCTTCAATAGTGTGCTCCCTGCGCTCAGGGCAAACATGGTGCCTTTCCCTCTCTAGTGCAGGTGGTGGCAAAGGGACAGAGTTTGGGATCGTGCATGAAACTGGTGGCAGAGCGAGGGTTTGGGAGAGCCCACCCTTCCTGGGCTGCGGATCCTCACAGGCATCGTTTCCTGAGGATCGCTGGTGTTTGTCTCCTGCCTCAGCTTCCCCACCCTTTAAAAGGGGAGAGAGCGCTGACTTTCCGGCAAAGTACTGTGAGCTGTGGGGCTGACCTGCCTGGGGGTTTCAGCAGCAGAGGTGGGAGGACGCCGTCAAGGCTAAGCATCTTTAGTCCCCGGCTTGTGTTTGGTGTCTCGGAGGCCTGCTGCTCCAGGCTGCTGCTAATCTGTTTTGGGGCCTTAGAAAGCAACAAAGGCTTATCTGAGCCGCTTGCTGAAAATAGAAATGAGTGTCAGGAGGACGTCTCGGTGCGAGGCCCTGCCGACAGCCAGCTGGTGGAAACCTTCTCTGGGCTTTGCTGGGTGTGTGTAAAAGGCCGCCTTTGTTTCCTCCCAGCCCACACACTGACACCGCATTCCTCCTCCTCTTGTTGCCAGATATTCGGGGAGTCTCTCGGTGTTTAATCTGCGGGAGAACCTTGGGGAATTGGAGACTGAACTGTAAGTTCTGGCTCTGCCCTCGCAGGGCACTGGGAGCTCCCGGCTGCCTCCGAGCCTCCCTGCCAGCCCTCTGTATTGACTGTGATTTCAGGCAGACGAGTGGGAGTCGGAGGAGCTGGAGGGCTGGACTGGCCCTTGTCGGGGAAGAGAAGGCACTGAGCCAAAGGTCGTGGAATTCAAAGGCTTTTCGGTGCTGACTGGGGATCTGCGTTGAATGGCGCTGCTTAGCCCGGGCTTGGGTAATGGAAGGAGATCAATAGGCTGCAGCCAGCCACGGGGCATGTTGGCAGAGAGCTGCCTCTTGGGTCTTTCCTCCTGTCTGCTCGCCATCCCCTGGAGCCAGCTGGGTTTCTGCAGGGCAGAAAGGAAGAGCATTTGGTTGCCCTCCCGCTCCCCCCTTGCTTCCTGCCCCCAGGCGAGCCTTTCTCCACCAAGGGACTGGGAGCAGGAGCTGGCCCTGGCCCTCCAAGCAGCAAGTGCAAGAGTTAAGCAAGACAGGGAGTGTCTGCCGGGCTGCAGCCGGTTCAGCCGCCCCAGCAGCTCGCATGACTGCTCCAGGCAGGGATCGGGCTTCCCTGCTCCACTAACCTCGAATCGTCCCTTGCTGCTGCTGCTCAGTGCCTTCTGCCTGTGGGTCACCTCTGTGTCACCTTGTCCTTCTGTCTGGGACCAGGGGAGGCAGTAGGTGGAGGCTGCGTTGCAGCCAGAGGCTTGGCAGCTTCTCAGAGGGGATTAAGGGGAAATTTGTTTCTGGAAGTCTGGCCCTCTGGCTGGGGTGGTTTCTGGGTGATGGAGGAGGAAATGAGTACAGCCATTTCCAGTCCCTTCTCCCATCAGGCCAGTTTATCCCAGGCTGGGAGACTGCTCCAAGCGGGGAGGTGCTGAGAGGCTAAACACATCCTCCCTCCAACCACGGCACGGAGGGTGCTCAGTCCTTGGCACGGCTCAGAGCTCGGCTGGACAGAAAGGCTTTATGTGCCCTGCTGTGACCACACGTCTGCTGCCAGCACACTCGGGGTGCGGGTCCCTGCTCTGATCCCTGTTTGTCTGCAGCTCTGTGGAGCCTCGCAGCACCCACTGACAGGGCAGTGCCAGGGCACAGGAGCATCCCACGCTGAGGAGGGTTGTGTTTGCGTGCTGTGGGGAGCAGGGTGAGGAGCCTTCCTCCCTTCTTCTGGGTGAAAGATGCTCTCATCTGAAAGGGCTCTGCTCATGGGACCCAGCCGAGCTGTGGGGATGGGACGCCAAGCTGAGGCAGCTCCGGTACTTGCACCACCTGGGTCTGCGGGCTGGGCTGTGGCTGTTGCTTTATGCAGCCTGGAGGGTGGATTTGGGCTGTGGCTCCGATGCGTGCTGCTGGGATTGCAGGTTGCCTCGGCTCTTCTCCAAGAATGCTGCCGAGGGGTTGGTTTGGGTGGCTTTTCTTTCTGCTCTCCTTTTAGCTGTCTAGCTGATTGAAGACACACCTTGAAGCAGCGAGATGCTGCTGGTTGCACTCACCAGTGTCTCCTGGCACCTTGGTGCAGGACAGTGCCTCTTTTCCCCTGGGGTCACTGACCTGCACTGGTGTGTTTTTCCTCCCCTTTGTACCTGACCGGCTCGGTGAGAGCTGGCAGCAGGCGGTACACCAGGCTTTTAAGGTGTGCATGAGCTGAGACCGTTCGTGTGTGTTTAGGAGGCTCCATGAAGTTGCACGTTGCATCCAGAGAGGTTTTTGTGTGTTTCGGGAAGCAGTGATCCTTGTCCCCAAACGAGACTTGATGCTGTGCTGGAGACAGGTATTTGGAGGGAGGCACACCTGAGCTTTTAGCTGCAACAGCAGCAGATGAGGAGATGGCAGCTTGATGGCAGCTGCCCTTGTTGTTTTGGAGCTCTGTGCTTCGGACCCAGGCTTGGCTGGTTACGCTTACTGGGCTCTGACACTGCTCTCTGATCACTCTTATCAGCCTAACTTCCCTCCCTAACTGCAGGGTTATATCAGACCAGGAAAGCAGTTGCAAGCGGTTGGACTCACGGTTCATCTCCCGTGCGCAGGAACAAACACCAGAGAGAGGCAGTTTGGCCCTGACAGGAGCAGGCGTTGGCGAGATTCCTGCTGCCTCGCCTGAACGGGGCATGTGCCCCTGCCTGTGCTGCCTGCTTCTCCAGAGACCAGCGAGGGGCTCGGAGGGGTGATCGGGACAGGCAGCGGCTGTGTGTGGGGGAAGGAGCAGTGGTCGTTGGGGGTTTCATGGGACACAGAGGTGAACGATGGGCTCTTCTCTTCCCCAGGTGTACAAGGGCTTGGACATCATCACGAACAAGGTTTCTCCCCAGGAGCAGCGTCTGTGCAGACACCACATGATCAGCTTTGTGGATCCCCTTGTCTCTAACTACACGGTGGTGGATTTCAGAGACAAAGCTGTGGCTCTGATATCCTTTAATGCTGCAGCCTGCCTGGCCAAGCAGATATGGACTTCCTCCCTCCACAGCCAGGCCTGCAAGAGGCATCGCTGTTTGCATCAGACTTGGGCTGTCCACATCGCAACTAACTCTGGTTTTCAGGGGATATTGCTGGCGAGGGGGCCTTGGAGCTTCTTTTGTCCAGCTAATGCTCAGTGCAGCCCATCCTCAGGGCTGGTTGGGGAAGATCTCTGCTGCACCACAACAGTGCTGGGCTGGGTATTGCCCTCCCTGGGCGTCCCTGAGTTTTGATGGTAGCTGACACAGGTAGCAGAGGATAGTGAGAGATGAGGGATACCTGTAACCCTGACCTGCAGCCTCACTGGCTCCTTGGGGCTGGGAGAGTGGGGTCTGGGCCCCAGGCTGCCGCTCCCCACAGCCCTCCCTCCCTGCTGTGCATCTCTGCTTACGCTCCCTGACTGTGGCACATTGAAGATATCTTTGCCCGAGACAAGATCCCGATTGTTGTGGGAGGAACCAACTACTACATCGAGTCCCTGCTCTGGAAGGTCCTTATCAACACAAAGGTACTGTTGGGGGGGCTGCGTATCCCTCTGGGAAGGGGTGAGCCCCGTGTTCAGGGCAGGCTTCCTGCAACTGGGCACGGTGCTCCCCCTGCTAGAGTGAGGCAAGGAGAACGAAAAGCCCCTCCTTCACCCTGTGGGTCTCGGGGATCTTCTTGCTTGCGCTGGCCTTGCACACGGATGAGCGGCTTGATTCAGGGCTGCCTTGTGCCCCACAGGAGAAGGCCAGCACAGCCCCCGGGCTGGTCACTGACAGGAAGGTGGAGCTGGAGCAGCTGGACGGCATTGAGCTCCATCGCCGCCTGAGCCAGGTGGACCCAGAGATGGCGGCCAAGCTGCACCCCCATGATAAGCGCAAAGTGGCCAGGTGAGTTTGGCGTGCCAGGGGCCGGAGGTGCCAGGGCCCAGTACCCCTTCCCAAGGGAATTGTGTGCCTGGGAACACGGCAAGATGGGCTCTCCCATCCCAGGCAGGCACTCCTAGCCTCTTAGCAAGGTGCTTGGGAACCTTGGAGCACTGGTGTTGGGGAGCTCTCTGGGATCTGAGACCTTTGGCCACGCAGCCTCCAGCTTGAACTTGCCTTTGGGATCCAGGACAGCACATTGCTCCTGGCTTGGTGCACTGGGGCTGCTCCCGCTGCGGTGCCCCAGCAGCAGGGTTTATCTGGAGCTATTTAAAGAGCAAGCTGCCATGCTGGCTGAGTAACATAGCTGAGCTCTGTGGGAACAGCACTGGAGCAAGACCAGGCTTGCTGCTTTGGCGGGCCCAACCCAGCCGAGCCCTGGCCCGGGGGGAGCAGAACGCCGCCCACCCCATTCGCACGGTGGAGGGGGACGGAGGGTTGGGCACCCTCCGCAGCTTCCTCCACCTCCCTGGCTGGGCTGGGCTGAGCTGGCGGTAATGCTTTGCAGCATCGGCAACGCTGGCCCCTTCCCTGCAGCCCTGCCTGGCTGGAAAGGGCAGGGCTGGAGCCAGAACCCCGTCCCTTGCAGGGCTTGTCCCGGTGCCAGGCAGGAGTGGGTGGCTGTGCTCTGGGCTCCTTGAGTGCCATCACTGTGCTCTGCGCTGCATTGCACCCCCAGGACCTGGGTGTGCTCGGGATGCCGGGCACGGGAGGGGGCAGAAACCTGCCCTCCCCCCAACATGAGAGGGTTGGATCACAGTGAGTGTCTGCGGTTCCCTTTGCTGGAGCCCCCAGGGCTGCTGGGGAAATGGAAAAGCTCATCCTCACCCAGCCTCTGAGCTCTGTTTGTCTCTGCTTACAGGAGCCTCCAAGTGTTTGAAGAGACGGGGATCCCCCATAGTGAATTCTTGCACCAGCAGCAGGAGGAGGAAGGTGGGGGGCCCTTAGGTGGGCCCCTGAAATACCCACATTCCTGCATCCTGTGGCTCCATGCAGACCAGGCAGGTGAGAGTGGGCTCTTGGCTGGCTGAGTAAGGTGATGCAGGATTAGGGCTGACTCCCTGCTCCTGCCCCAGCCTCCTCCCTGAACAAGGCAGCAATTCCTTTGGCATCAGTGGGCGTGACAGAGGACTCGCTCCCCTCGCCTCCTGGGCTCTGCTTTCCTCAGGTGGATCGGGAGGCTGGCAGTGCCGAACCATGTCCTGACACGTTGTCCAGCTGTGGGCCTCCCAAGGGCACGGCTCCAAGTGGCTGAGCGTGTCCTGCTCTTCTCCTCCCAGCTCTGGACCAGCGGCTGGAGAAGCGGGTGGATGACATGCTGGCTGCGGGACTGCTGGAGGAGCTGCGGGACTTCCACCGACGCTACAACCGAGAGAAGGTGGCTGAGAACCGGTGGGTGAGAAGCCAGTTCCCATTCTGCTCCCACTCCCACCTGACAGACCCATTCAGGGCCCGGACCAACTCTGCCTGCAGCACCTCCAGTGTGTTGCTGCTCCCAGCCCTCTCTTGGCAGCATCTGCTCCTGCGGTGCTGCTTGAGTGTTCACCCAGCAAAGCTGACGTGGGCTGGCACTGAAGGCACCGGTCTGCGTTCCTGTGTGTGCCTGGCTTGGCTTGTCCCCTGAGGCCATGGGCTTGTGTCACCTGTGGGGGTCCTGCAGGGCGAGGCGCAGAGACCTCAGCTGTTCTGGGGAGGGTTGAGGTCTCCCACTGTTCCGAAGGAGATGGCCTTGACCCCTGTCTCTTGTCTTGTTCTCCAGGCAGGATTACCAGCACGGCATCTTCCAGTCCATCGGCTTCAAGGAGTTCCATGAATACCTCATCAGTGAGGGGAATTGCTCGCCTGAGACCAGTGCCCTGCTGCTGCAAAAAGGTGGGAGGATCACCCTGTGTGCCCTATGTCCCTCAGCCCCACGCAGCTCCAGGTGACACTGCGTGATGCTCTGAACTAAGCTCAAACCCAGAGCAGGTCTTGCTGGGGTTGAGCTGCACCTTTCTCTGTGCATTTTCCCTTTCTGCCAGCCCAGAGGGGCAGGGAGTCCTTTTTCAGTGCTTGGAGAGCATCTCTGAGCACACTCAGAGCAATTCCTCCCTCCCTTCCCCCAGGCCTCTTTGCAAGATGTACTAGGCACAGCGTGACTTGGGATCTGGAGCTGGTCTGCCGGTGACCTGGGTGATGGGATCCCAGCTGGGGTGTGAATGCTGTGGAGAACAGGGCTAGAAAGAAGGAATGAAGCAGAACTCAGCATGTGGTTCAGCAGCAGGATGGCAGGAAGGGATCTGGGGATCTAGCAGATCACAGCATGAGTCGGTAGTGATGCGCTGTTCGGTGGCACATGTCATTCTAGAGTGTCTGGACAGATATGCTGTTGTTAGAAGAGAGCTGCTCTGCTTCTGAGCACAGCGGAGGTCCCAGGCGGAGCTGGTCTGTGACAAGGAGGGTTTAGTGCGAAGTGGAGATGGAGGCTGAGGAGACCACAGAAATGATAAGAGGCTTGAAAACAAGTCTGGTGCGGAAGGGGCTTGTTGTGTCTGCTCAGGAGACTGTTACAGAGGGGTATGATAAGTCTGGTACTAAACATTGAAAGGTTGTACAGTGGTAAACTATCCTCTGGGCTCACTGTGGGTAGGACAAGGAGTCCTGGGCTCTGTTTGTGGAGAGAAGTATTCAATTAGGCATTATGAGAGCAGTGCAGCCCCTGAACAGCTTGTCCTACCTGCTAAAATAACAACAAAGCTTTTATTTTTTACTCCCTCTGTTTCAAAGGGATCCAGGCCCTGAAACAGGTGACCAAGAGATATGCCCGGAGGCAGAACAAATGGGTCCGAAACCGCTTCCTGAGACGTAAGTCCTCTGTTCCTGCCCTGCCTTGCCATCCCTGCTCTCGCATCTCTTATCATCCCTCCTTGGCACATCTCCTGCTCCCAGCTCAAGAGAGGAGAGTGGTGGCTCCTCTGCTTTGGGGCAGCATGTGTTGGGGGGGATGCGAGTCTGGCAGAGATCAGACAATCCTGCCTGGATTCTCCCTGCTGGCCTAGGCTGCCCTGGCTCTGCCGGTGTCTGCTGCCGGCCAGAATCCTTCCAGGAGCCGCAGGTACCCAGTGTCCCAGTCCACCCACGAGACTGCCCCAATTCCTTCCCACATGTTTGGGTTGTAGAGCAACTGCTCAGCCCTCCTGAGACAGCCCACCCAGCACGGTCCATGTTTATCTTGCCCACAGCCTCTCTGCCCAGACACTCAGGAAGCCAGCTCCTTCTCACTGCTTCCCCTGCACCCCTGGTTGCCTGTCAAGGGAAGATCCCCTCCCAACAGAAGTGCCATCAGGATGGCTAATACTTCAGCGGAACAAAGCGAGCAAAGGCTCAGCCCCACTCCGGGCAGCAGTAGATGATGATGGCCACAGCATCCCCGTAGCCTATCCTGCCGACAGCTCCCAGGGGACTCAGGGAGGGGATGCCCAGCATGGTTCCTCTCCCCATGCACCCACACATGCTCCCTGCGCAGGGCGAAAAGCCCAGTTTGACAGCTGCCCTCCAGATTAGGAGCAGGAGCCCATTGGCTGCTCTTTAGCCTGGGCCATGCTCACCGCAGTGGCAAGGAGCCAGCAGGACTTCCCCATCCCAGCCCCAGCCTTGGAGCAGGGCCAGCAGTGGCAGCTGGGAGCCGGGCACTTGTTGAAAGGTGCTTGGTAGGGGCAAAACAACAATATATTAAAAAAAAAGCAGGGAGAAACTTGAATCAAAAGATGGGCTTTGAACGAGGTGCAAGAGCTTTCCTGGAGCCATGTGCTTGGTGGATGTGGCTCACCTTTCTGGTGGCAGGTGTGCTTCAGATCAGCCCTGTCGGGAGCTTGTTTGTGGTTACAGCAATAAAAAGCAGCACCTGCTGGAGACTGGCACGCGGCAGCCTTGATGGCTTTGTCCGAGTGGGGCTGTGTGCCCGATGTCTGCGGGGAGGTGAGTCGCAGCAGGGCAGCGACGTCGCCGGAGGGAGTGGGTGCTCTCTGATTGCAGCTGTCTCACCCCACCCAGGCTGCAGCGAGCACCCCGTGCCTTCGCACCGGGCTGGGGAAAGCCAAAGGGGTGGCTTTCAAACTGTGCCTTGTCAGGTTGAGGCATTAGTAAAGCATCTCCTGCCGTGGCCTGCTACTGTGAGCCGGGAGCGTTGGCCCCTGCAGCCACAGAAGCAATTACAGCTCTAAGTAGGAACCTGCACTCGCAGATTCCTCATCCAGACTCCATGCCTGCAACTCCTTGTAAGCTTTGTGTGATGGCTTTGTGCCTGGATCTAGCTTTTTGATCTTCTGCAGCCTCCTGTGGACCATGGCTGTGATGAAGTGTTTGTTGTTGTGATGGGCTGTTGGTGTTCTTGCATTTCATAATGCTGTCCCGAAGGCAGACACCCATGAAGATACTTGCTTGAGGTCTTAGGTGTTCTTGCTGTTTGCGAGGGTGATGCCCCCCCAAGCTGAGGTCTTTGGTAATTTTGGCTCTGGAAAGGCTGGTGCTGTTTGCTTCTGAATGCTAAAGGACAGCTAGATAGTAAAGAGCAGATCCCCCCTGCTCACAGTGTGACCCTGTGGGTGCTGGGACATGATGCTGGGGGGGTTCTGGCAGTGACCTGCCTTTCTGTGTCTCTGTAGGTCCTGGGCCCAATGTGCCCCCGGTGTATGGCTTGGAGGTGTCTGATCTCTTGCGGTGGGAGGAGGATGTGCTGAAACCTGCTCTGGAGATTGTGGAGAGCTTCATCCAGGTACTGGGGAACTGGAGTTAACACGTGAGCCATGACTGAGAAGCCAACTTCTTGCTAGTCTCCAGGCCCCGTAACTTGGCACTTAGTCTCTCCCATGAGCAGGGCTCTCTGCTTACATGTCCAGCCTTGGGCTTTCCTCGCAGCAGCAGAGGGTTGTTGTCTAAGCTGAAAATTTCTCCTAATGCCCAGTACGCCACTTGTCTTGCATGGTAAAACTGCAGCGTCTGTCCTGCTAACCTTAGTGTTTGGGTATGGCAAGTTCACATCCCAAACTCTACCAGAGTGAACACAGCCAAGCAAATTTTCATAGCCGAAACCAGTTTGAGACATTATTTAATCTACAGGGACGCGAGCCCCCAGCAGAGCCTGTGAAGATGGAGTACGATGTAAATGAGAACAAACGGAGTCATCGCGTGTGTGAGCTCTGCGACAGAGTCATCATTGGGGACAGGGAGTGGGCAGGTAGGATGTGGTAAGAGGGAGAGGACCTGGGAGGGGGCACAGCGAGCGCAGTTACGTGGAGGGATGGAGCAAGGCAGTTCTTTGGAGCAGAGCGGCTTCCTTGGCTGTCTTTGCTTGGCCAGATGACCCTCAGCACATGATCTTGGGCTTTCAAGGATTGTTTACAGCCTGTGTATGAAAGCAGCCATTTGCAAGCCCAGAGGGGGTGCAGGAGCTGTGCCACAGCAGCCATCTGTCGGGCTTTCCCCCCCTTCCCCGGCACCCAGTAAACACTGCCGCTCTCTGCCGTCACGCCAGACATGGGGATCTATACGTAGCATCAAGCCTCAGAGCTGTCTGTGTTTAGTCAAGACTGCTGGTCCTTTTCAGCACTTTAGATACTTTGTCAAAAAGCACAGAACAAATTTGTTTCTTCTAAAATTTTGTTGAGTCAAATGAAAGTTTCTTAATGTTTTAATAGTTCAGTTTTGCTCCAGTATCTCCTATTTGTGTGTTTAAAAAAAAAAAAAAAGTATTCCTAGCTGTAATGTTAATAGAAGGGGATTTTCTATTTTCAATAGACTTACTTTAAAAGAGCTCAGCTGGAATCAGATTAACTCAGTGAATTTATCTGTGCTGTGAGGCTCATGCTGAGAACCAGAAACAAAAAGTAGTGGAGAAAACTGGCTGCAGAAATGAAACTGGTAAATCTCCATGTGTTGCCCAAATGCAGTATATGCAGACACAATGCAGAGATAAATTTCCCAGGTTGTTGGTTGTTGGATTTGAATGAGTCGCTTATACCTATTGAGCCAGGGAACTGCTGAAAGCAAAGATGGAAGTTGGCTCAGAATAGGAAGCTCATTGTAGTGAGATCAGTTTGTAAGTGTAATTCTTATTTTAGCCAGTCTCAGCTGTCTCAGCTTGGAGGTGCTTTGAAGGAGCTCTACCTACTCCAGAACTAGAGGACTCTAAGGCTATCAGGGTCTGTACCATCCTTCCAGGTCCAGCAAGTTTTATGACCGAGTGGGAACTCCTCAAGATCCCCCCCCAAACACTACAGCTGCAACTACATGTCCTCTAGGGATGTCATCCCAAATTCTGATAGATGAAAGAGAATACCTTTCTCAACCAAGACCAGCTGTTGTTCTCTGCATCCAGCTGAATTTGGCTCAAATCCCCAGATGGTGGGAGAAAAATGGTCCAAAGCCTGGGTGTTACTTGTAACTGCAAAATGTAAAAGCTCAAAGGGAGGTGAAAACAGTAGTGGGAGCGGAGTCGATCTGCAATCTGGTCTGTTTTCTTAAATCAAGTTACAGATAGTTCTGGGAACTGCTTCCCAGTACCCCACTGGCTTTGGAAGATTTTAAAGTTTTATCTAATTTTACAATTTGTATGGACTTAAAAGAGCATGCCTCCCCAGACAGCAGCAGAAATCAACGCTTCTTCCAGCCACTGTAAGCTTTGGTGTTGCTTGCAACAAATTGTAAGAGGTGAGACTTTATTTCAAGCTGAGAGTGACCCTACAGCATTGTGATAAAGCAGCAGCTTTGCATGTAATTTCATCCTTTGGCAGAAAAGGATGACTGGAAAACACCTGAGGGCTTTGATTCAGTGAGCACATACCCTCGTTTAATTAAGGCCCTGCATGAAAAGTTTGCTGCTTTAATTGCTGCTCTGATATCTTGGAAATAGCAAAACCGCCCTGCTAAGATGGTACATTGGTCTGGTTAGACAAAGCGCCTTCTACTTAGATAATACCACTGATACAGGAAGTTTTACTGTCCTTAACTATGTGATTTCAAACAGAAACGCAGCTCCTGCTGCCCTGCAGCATCAGTACAAGTTTCATCCTTGGGATTACACCTCTGTTCCCATCCGACTCCTGCTGAAGTGCTCTCGTAGCTGGGGGCCTTGCCCTGGAGTTATGCAAAAGCATAATTATGCTCCAGGCTCCATCCCTAGCCTCTCTGTAGATGTACAGGATATCCCTGGTGCTGTGGTGCAGGCATCTAGGCTTACAAATGATCCTGGCGGTGCTCCATGGCGTGGTGGATAGTTGCACAACCTCGCCTGCATCCTGCAATGTGCCGCCTCTTTGGTAACACTTTCCTTTCTCCCGTCCTCCCGGCGTTGTGTCTCGGTTGGGAGCAGACTTGCTGGGAGGGTTGAGTCCTGACAATCTGGAGTCTTCTGCATATACAGAACCAGGATTTTTCCCTCTTCCAGTCCTTCTTGCGGTCAGGAGAAGGCTAGGAAGGGTTGTCCCCCTTTGAGCGCCGGTAGTTTGGCCTAGAAGCATCCTGAGAAATGGCCAGGGCAGGGCTTGGGAGTTCACTTTTCTGCGGGAATCAATTGTGCAGGAGGATGGGAAGGGATGGTGCTCTGCACTGCACGGCGAGATCGGGTCGGGTGTTCCCTTCTCAAAGTTCCTCAGAATTAAACGCTCTGTTTGCCTCTTCCTCCAGCTCACACACGATCCAAATCCCACCTGCACCATCTGAAGAAGAGAAGGAAGCTGGAGGCCGCCAGCCGTGTTGCAGAGACTGAGGGGGACAGTGGGGGCCCAGAAACCTTGGGCAAGGACAGCATCTTGCCTTTGCCGTAGGCCTGCAAACCAGCTGGCGAAGGGGAGCAGCCGCGCTTCCACCTGTACGGCGAGGAAGCGACTTAGTCCTGGGTGGCCTTGAACTGAACGAGCTGAGTCATTTTTTTCAGGATGAGGCAGGTGTGTAAGTGACGGCCAAAGGCCGTCGGCTGCATCAGATCTTCTTCATGTGGCCTCATCGCGCTGTGTTCCCATGCTTCCCCAGCCCTGCCTGGAAAGGGCTGGGCCCTGGGGCAAGGCTGCTAGGAGCATCCTCCCATGCCAAGCGTTAATTCCTGCCAGAGACGCAGCATTATCCTTGGAATGGTTGAGCTGATCCTGCTGGCATGCAATCGTGTCGTTCTCAGAGACAGAAATACCCTGCACTCCTCCAGCTTGGCCAGGAGTGCAGCTCTGGAGCTGAGTGAGCTCTTACTGCCTTTATTGTGGAGAGGATTTTTTTTTTCTTTTATATGGAAATAAAGCTGCAAGATTCTTGCGGGTTCCCCTCCCTATTAACAAGCGCAGTTTTCTTGCTCTCTGTTTCCACCTGGCCCAGGTTCCCTGCTCTGGGCACAGGGCAGGAGGTCCAGGCCTGGTTCCTTCTTCCAGTCACCTTTCCTGCAGCTTCTGAGGGAGCTGAGCAGATGTTCTCAGCTTGGTGGAGGCAGGCTGATCCCTATGCACATAGCAGGTGCAGAAGGAGCTGGCACCTGTTAAACAGGAACTTGGAAATGATCTCATCAAGTTTGCAACAGATGAGCCTGTCCTAGTTAAAGCTGAATTCCCGGGGGTTTACACTGTGGTTTGGCAGTGGGAACCAGCCCCGCATTTGAATCCGAGTTGCTGAGCAGCAAATTCCTTGTGCCACGTCCGCGAGGCAGTTGGTCTCTGCAGCGTCCTTCCTGGAGGACGCAAGCGCCGTCTGCACCACCACGCTTCCCGGCGTGCCGCTCTGGGTGAAACTGGGACGGTCTTTTCCAGGGCATTTGGGATTCTCCTGGCAAATGCAATCAAGACGGTTCCTCCTGGGAGGGTTTTGGGTTGGTAGAGCACAAATTTTTCCTTCAGCTGCTTGTGATACACCATGTGGCAAGAGCCATCTCTCAGGGCTCAGCCTGCGAGGGGAAGAGCTGCGTGGGTGGATCTGCCATCGCAGGCTCTGGAGATGCCTGCTCTGGTGGGGATTAGATTAAACCTCCGGTTTGTGTTCCTCAGCACTGAATTATTTCTGTAATGCTCCGTGGGGCGGCTGCCTTGAGCTGTTTGATAGGGGTGTGGGGTGGCTAGGGAGCTCGGACTGAAAGGAATATGCAGGGAAGAGCTGGGAATTTGGGTTGGCTTTTCTCTGCCAGCATTGGGCAGAGCCGGGCATCAGCTTTGAAATTCTGGGCACCGCGTTTGTGTTGCTGGGTCTGTCTGCAGCGCCAGCTGAACCTCTTCTCCAGCCCAGACTTGTTTGCCATCCACGCTGACTCAAGCGTGTATGAGGATACGGGCTCAGCCCAGCACTGGCGCCCACGGCCAAGGGGTCATGGTGTGGAACCGTGTTCTCCTAGCCTGGATGGACGAGATGGAGGTGAGGCCGGGTGTAAAGCCCCATTTGCTGCTGATGTGCTGAGTGTGGTCTTCTAATAGGCGGCACGGACACCTTGAGTCATCTCCCCAGGCCAGGCTAGGATCATCGGGGCAGCTCTGTGAATGAGGGGTGGGATTATCTGCTCTGTCTCCTGAGTGCAGTCAGATGACCATACTGTTAGAAATGGATTTAATATCCTTAATCGGTTTAATATGAACTTTGTTATCCCCACAGATAAATGTTATTCCTCTACCACAATAGCTGCTACTCTGCCTGTTCTGTTCACGAGCCTGCTCGTAACAGGCTGTGCTGCAGGGCAGGGTCTCCCAGGCCTTGCCCCTGCTCCGTGCCGCCCGCTGCAGTGCCTTGTTTTGGGGGTGGCAGCTCCCGTGGGTCCCAGGAGAATGGGGGGGGCTGGCACATTTGCTTGTTCATGCTGTGGCTGGACGGCTATAGGAAGGTGGAAGCACACCCTGATCCTGCCAGCAGCAAGAAGCAGGTGAGTTTGCTTTCTCAGCAAGGTAAGAACTGTCGATGAGGACACGGCTTTTTATTTATGCAGAGCCAGTGCCAACATCCCTGCGATTATTTGCTCTCCAGGGAAGAAGCTGGTGTCTGTTGTACCTCTGCTGTTCAGAGGACTCAAGGCAGGGACTGGGATTGAGCTCCTGGCAAGGGTCGCACCAGTTCCTGGTGCCGGCACACATTCAGCTCCTGCTCCTCTTGCTCTGGGCCCTGCCCGCCTCCCTGGTCTCCTGCAGAAGGGACAAACGATGCAAAATTGCTCTCCAGTCCCGGCCAGGACTCGCTGAGAAAGTTGTTGTGGTCTCAGCTTTCAGGCTGCTGTCAGTGCGGAGAGGTTTGGGGATGGGGAATGGCACTTCACTCCATCTGCCCTCCTCTAATCCCCAGACAAACGCAGCTCTTCCATCTGTGCAGCCGGAGCTGCCGAGCCCATCACACCAGCCACTTAATCTAAATGGCTTTGGCCAAAGATAAGGTCATTAATTACACTGGGATTAGAAAACAGTACAGGCCTGGCGTGGCTTGGCTTGCCATCAATTAAAGTCCTCGGCGCCCTGGCCTGGCTGAGCGTCGCAGCTGGAGAGCTTGAGCTGGAATAGACCCATTCCCTCGCTGATCCGGCATCATCCCCATGGCACTGCCTGTCCTCGGAGGGGTCCCCTCACCTGGGCACTGGCTTTTTGGCTCGGCACTGGGGTGGGCTCCTGTCCCTGGCCACCAGCAGGGCTGGGTGCCAGGCAGAGTCGGTGACGCAGGTCCCGGGGGACATGGCAAGCGTCACGGCAGCCGGCGCAGCCCGAATCCTTGCGTCCAGCAGCGAAAGGTACATGGGCAGCATCCCACCACCTGCATCCCCATCGCTTACTGCCTCCAGCCTTCACCAGCCCCTTCCGTGGCACCACATCAAGCTCGGCCCCGACTTGCTGCCCAGAGAGGACGGGGAGGGCTGGCCAAGCCCCACTGCTCTCGCTTGTCGCCGCCATCCCTGGAGCTCAAAGCAGCCAAAGCCCCTTTGCTGATCTCAGCTCCAACGTTGTCCATGATACTCAAGGACTTGTGTTTTCTTCTGGTTCCTCTACCTTTTGGTTCCCTTTTCTTACCACGTTTTGGCTGTAAAATGCCCCGATCTGCTCAACCTGTGGGAAACTTCTCATCCATGTGGTGCTGCTGGGGTGGGATGTGCCACCTGCCCTGTCCCGCAAGGTGCTGCGGGGGGCACAGCCGGGGCTGAAGCCACAGATGTGGCACGAGTTTGGCCTCAGCCCTCCCCTTGTAGGAAGAGGCAGTGCTGTGGGGGGCCGGGAGGGACACACGTTATGGGCGGCCGGGCTGTAGCTCTGTGCCAGGAGCCATCCGGCACCGTGGCACAGCTGTCATCTTGCCCGGCACTGGTGACCAGCTGGTGTCTGTGCCTGTGTTCGCTGGTGGCTTTTTAAAGGATCCGGCTGTCCCTTAACGCCCGTTGGAGGTCCTGGGTGGTGATGCTGTCCCGGCTCTTCCCACCCCAGTTCCCACACTGCGGGGACGATCCTGTCCCGGTGCCTTGGACAGGCTGGGGACCATCTGGGGGACGGTGTCACCTGGGGACGGCAGCTCCTGCAGACACGCCACGCGGCAGCTGCAGCCACCAAACTGAGCCGTGTCCTGGCCTCATCTTCGGTTCCCAGGTGGGATCGTTGTGCCGCGGAGCACCAGGGGGATTTAATGAAGCCCTGGGTGATGGGCTCGGTGGGAGGGAGCTCTCGGAGCCCGCTTGGGGGTCAGCAGGGCTGGCTGGCATCGCTGCCGTCGCATGGCAGGCGAAGGTAACTAATGGGGAAACTGAGGCACGGCTGGTGCATGGAGTTGCTCTGATTGCTGCGGGTGCTGGCAGCCGGGCAGGGCGTTTCGCATCCTGTGGCCCATCCCAGTGCCTCGGCGGCATTTCTGGCGGGCTATGGGGAAGCCGTGTAGCAAAAGCCTAAAAATAAAAGGAGCCGTTGGCCGAGGTTGTGCAACAGTGTGTGCGTCCCGTGCCGCGCGGGAGTTGGGCGGCTTTGGCGGCAAAGCCCGGGTGTGCGTGGCTGGATCCTGGCACCGGGCCCAGGAAATGCCGGTATCCAAAGGGCTGGGGGCTGCCAGGTCTTTTCCCCTTTTTTTCCCCTCCTTGTGCTGCTCATGATCCCCCAGGGCTGCCGTGGCCGGGGGTGCTGGTGGGTGCCCGTGCAGATTTGGAGACATGGGGTTGTGCCGGGCTGCGGTGGGTGGGATGGGTGTCCCCATGTTGACACCCTGAGCAATTCGGGGGGGGGGTCCAGTGCGCAGGAGGCTGGGGGGACCCTGCCCATGCGCCCTCCGGCACACACTGGAGGCAGCGGTTGTCACCCATTGCACAGGTGGGGAAACTGAGGCATGGGCATGCCATCAGAGAGCCACCTTCCACGAAGGTTCTGGGGTCCTGGTGGCACATGTGAGGTGCCCATCGTCCCCGGGCAGCGAGGGGGGGCCGGCAGTGCAGGCAGCTGCCCACGGCTGCCCGGTGGGAAAGGCAGCGGGAAGGAGAGCACCGTCCGGCTGGCGGGACACCAAACTCGGGGGGACTTCGCCCTGCACCCCAGGAGTGTGGCCACAGCAGGACGAGTCTTGGGGTGGCCCCGTGGGGGGGGGGGTGGGGGGGTGATGCAGCCCCCGCTGAGGGCTGGTACGGGGCCCTGCGCTGCAGGCTGTCCGTTGGGGCATCCCCCAGTTTGGGGGGCTT